AACTGGTACCGATCCAAGCTCGTGGGTTATATTACCGCTTAATATAATAAAAAATGTTGAAAGTTAAAACAATGTGTCTTACTGTCTTCTTCTTATCTGTATTCATATGTTAAAGAATGGACTTCAGCGGTGCGCACAGTAAGCCTCTTTTATTCATTAAGCTACAATGTTCACGGTGTTTTTACTCAAAAGTTTTCCTTTGTTTGCCGTCTTGAGAAAATCAGCTTGAAAATTAAAGTTCACCTCTCAACTAAAACAACACGAAAAAAAAAATAAATAAAAATCTTCTGTTATAAAAAGTTATTAAACAATTGTTGCAGCCACTCGAACCGAGGCTACCCCCAAGCCAATCAATTGAAAACCGTAAAAATGCAGTATTATCACAATTTTTATCAATGTGTGCTTTCAGACTAATAGCATGTTTAAAATATTTTCGACGACGGTCAAGGGAAAGTCATTTTTAGTAATTCTGAGCAGCTTTCAAAAAGTTTGAGTGTGTGTAGTCTAAAGTACAAGCAGACAAAAGGAACAGCGCTTGATTTTTTTCCATGCTCCATTGTCGTAGATCATGCTCAGAGATTTCCATCACGCTGATTTTTAATGCACTACAACAAAAATCCCATGTGAGCGCTCTCTGAACGTCTATTTGTTTATCGTTTTCTTTTTTCTGTGCTTGATTGCTTACGCGCTTGTCTGCTTCTTTTCCATTAATCAATATAGCATTTTATTTTTATTATTTTTTAATGATATATTATTTGATCTAGACGTTATTTCTAACGATAAAATGGCATATGCTCAGTCAAGCCGTTACATAGCCAACAAGTTTAATTCTATACCAATTTCTGTCTCCACCATCCCGACGACTGTTTACAACTTTAAACACCAAGTTATCGGCCAAGTCAGTATCCCACGGTAACATTAACTCATAATAAAACGTGTTGGCGTAAATATTGTAATGCTCGTTTTTTACTTCCACGCTTCCTTCCTTCTCATTTCCTTGTTGATAGGTTTTGAAATCAAGGCAAGCATGCCCACCACTATTCCAGAAATTCGTGACTGATACAGACACCAGGATGGCCTTGGTGTTTTTCGGAAAACAAATGGGCACTTTTTGGATGTAGGTGGGAGTCTTCCCGTTAAGTTCCAACTTGTTAAGTTTGTTAAGTATTTCATCAACCCTCACCATTTTCCAACCAGTTAAATTCAGTTTGTCATTCACTTGAGCTAACGCTTTTTCTTGTTCAGTAATCTTCTTTTCGCTTTGCTCAAGTTTCTTCGTCAGTGTTTTCACTTTCTGCTCCAGCTGCTTGAATGCATCTTCACTGAGCCACTGTTTCTCAAAAAGGCTCCCTGCATACCCTGCCATACACTTACATTCAAAACCACCGTCTTCCTTGCCGATGCATTTTCCTGAGTTCTTACAAGGACACTTGCTGCTGCATGTAGGACCGTAYWACGTGTCAGGACAGGAACATGTGAAGCATCGGAAACCGTCTTGACAAACTCCGCCATTTTTACAAACGTTACCGTTGGCACATTCGTTAACAGTGTTTTTAAAATGTTTATGGATTTTCAAACGATCTCCCAAAGCACTAATGCCAAGGTTCTGTAGTTGATTCAACGTTAACTCAGTCAGGAGATTCAAATCGATGTTTTGGCGCTGCAAACTCTCCGCGACAAGGTTGGAATCCTTGTTTGATATTCCTGCAGCACGAAGATGGTCTAATAGACCTTCTTGTTGTAGTACACATGGCCTTGGTTGCTGAGAACATCGAATTTTAGCAAAGGAAAAACACACAGTAATCAAAATTATGAGATAACTAGCCACTGTAAGCAATGCTATACTTTTTCGATATATTAATCGATAAGCTCAGGCATGTTATGACCCCAGTCACTCATCGTCGGCATATCAAATACCTTTAAGTTTTTCTAGAGAATTCTATCCTTACAAAATTCAACACAACGTTACATTTTGGATAATGACTGAACAATGCCAAAAGTTGTTTTTTGATTGGCTCAAAATCAAAGATGGCGATTTTGCGTATGTGAGAAAATCTCGCAAAGGTTGTTGGGTGCACATGGGCCTTTAATTCACTTGACTGTGAGTGTSGCCTCTGCCTTGCTTTCTCTTGTTTTCAGTGAGAAATGCGCTTTATTTAACTAAATTGGCTACCCGATACTTTGAACTTAATGAACTTATTCCATCAATAAACTAGGTAAAGATAAAAAATTCCATTCTCATTTTTATTTCTATACTTGTACGAATTACAATCAAACATGCATTCGTATTTTTTCTAGTTTCTGCTGCAGCATTCTTTGATCAGTCTCAAACTAACATTTGCTATCAACTTTCTCTTCAAGGAGAAAAAGTTCATGATATTTAGGAATCACTGTTGTATTTTTCTCTAACTATATAAGCCATTTTCATCCTAATCACACAATAATATAACCAACGAGCTTGACTTGGTACCAGTTTCTGCTTCCTCCAGTCAAGTAGCTGCCTGTTATCTTGAAGACCAATTCTTGTGGTAAAGTAGTATTCCAAGGCAGCATCAACTCGTAGTAGAACGTGTTGGCGTAAATATTAAAGTGTGTGTTTACAACAGTCACGCTACCGTCTTTCTCATTGCCCTGTTGGTAGGTTTTGAAGTCGAGGTAGGCGTGTCCTTTAGTGTTCCAGAAGTTAGTGAACACAGAGATGATAATGGCTTTAGTGTTGCTAGGAAACACCATCGGCATACTTTGGATGTAGGTAGGCTTCTTTTGGTGAAGGGCAATCTTGGCGAGTTTATCCAGTGGTTTATCAACTCTCACGAGGCGCCATTCCCTTTTTTTTAGCGTGTTTAACTTGGTCGTGACTCGAGATAAATTTTTTCCTTGTTCAGTAATCTTCTTTTCGCTTTGCTCAAGTTTCTTCGTCAGTGTTTTCACTTTCTGCTCCAGCTGCTTGAATGCATCTTCACTGAGCCACTGTTTTTCACAAAGGCTCCCTGCATACCCTGCCATACACTTACATTCAAAGCCACCGTCTTCCTTGCCGATGCATTTTCCTGAGTTCTTACAAGGACACTTGCTGCTGCATGTAGGACCGTAGAACGTGTCAGGACAGGAACATGTGAAGCATCGGAAACCGTCTTGACAAACTCCGCCACTTTTACAAACGTTGCTTTTGACACAGTTGTTGCAAAGATCACTGGAAAAGTACTTCTGGATCTTTAAACGATCTCCAAGAACTTGAAGTACCGAGGTTTTGCAGCTGAGCCAAAGTGAGAGCCTTGAAAACGTGCACATCGATGTTCTTTTGAGTAAAGAAGTCGGCGTAGGTCTTGAGTTTGTTGGCTGATATTCCAGCTTCTCGGAGGAAGTCTTGGATTCCTTTTTTCAGGAGAGCGCAGGGTTGGGGAAATTGTTCACAAAGAACAGTTCGCACGAAAACAGATGCAGTAGCAAGAATGATAAATTGGAGAAACAAATGAGCCATCCTTGCGCTGCGGAATCGTGAGTATTGAAGTGTGCGTTGTTCCGCTTTGTAACGACAACATTCGAAAATTTTATCACGAAAAATCATGAAAAACATGAAATTGGTCAAGTAGGGGAACGATGTAAAATAAATAAATACAGCGACATTACTCTGCAAAGAGAAACAAAGGGCAAATTCTTGTCATCCTAATGGTTGGATTTTCCCTTGATAATGAACGACGCTCAATGCAATAAACTATGACACCTTTTACCACAATTCTCCGTCAAAGTTGAGATTCTCTTAAAAGCCAAAGAGGCAAACAATTAAGCTATTAACATTCATTA